TTTGTAGCGGATGAGATGTGTTGCGAAAGGTTATATATTTCGTTTTATAAAATATATTATTGTTTACAAGATTGATTCTGGATTGAATTTTTGGTATTTGAGGATGATTGTGTTAGTGGTCTGCCTTAGGAATCAATCAAGGTTGATACTCTAATATTAGTTGTGGATTAGGTTGTGTCGGAAAACCGACCTTCACTATACTTAGGTAGTCATAATGTCTTGCTAGAGACCGCTTATGACTTGTGGGCCAAAAAGGGTTTTGAGCACACTGCTAATGTTTAGTGAACCTACAAGGTCGCACACAATAGCGAACCGAGTTAATATTTTCTGTGCGCCGGGATCTACTTAAAATAAGAAGTAGATTTTAATTTATTCTCTTATTCAACTTATCTAATTGGTTTTGATTTTAATTCTTGTTTAATTATTAAGATTACGATATCATTGGCTTGTTGGGCTGCGTGTTGTTTGGCTATGGGTATTCCTAGGTAAGTGGCCTTATCTCTTCTTATCTCTTGGTATAGAGATCTTTGAGAGAGTCTCAAAGATCAAAGGCGATCGAAAAAGAAGTCCAAGATCTTTAGCTAGCACTTGGATCGTTGGAGACTTCCGTTCGTGTGTGTGGATACCGGTAGAGTCGCAACACTTGGGGCGCTAATCCGTACACAATCGATTGTTAATTTACCTTCGATCTGCAAAAGGTATGTGTCGAACTTCTGTTTAGATTTCAATATACGCATGGATCCTGTCTAGGGTTTCGATTTATAGATTCCGCCTGCGTTTTTAGCACTTATGGAACCCAACAAATTGTTTGATGCTCAATATGGTTGTGAACCCAGTTAAGGGTTTTTGGATCCTTGTGGGCCAAACCACCGGCTTTATAGGTGGAAACCTTACCAAGGGGAATCTCGTTCGCCTTGTCACTAGGTGTTGTGTCATGATCATGGTAATATATTGAGTTAATAAATTAGTTAATGAAATGGATCATTGATATAGTTTTTGATAGATATTGATCAATGGACTTGACCATTGATATCTAACTTGTGATGATGAGTATTTTTTACTTGTTCAAATTTTTTTTGAAATGAAACAACTTATATTTGATTTGATGTATATATATATATATATATATATATATATATATATATTATATTATATTATGGGATAGAAGTATGAGTTTTTAGTATTACTTTGTATACATGAACAATGGTTGTTCGATCTCCTTAAAAGCTATGTATTACTCACTGGGCTGTGGTTGCTCACCCCTCTCCTTCACAATCTTTTCAAGTTCCTCAACTAGCGATTCATAATACGAGACCGCTGTCAACGGGGATTTTTGGGAGTAGGATTTGGATGTGAGCTTAGCTTGTTTGTATATGATTGTGGATAGTTGTTGGGTTGGCTGAACTCTAAGTTGTACATATTGTTTTTTATGGTGATAAAAGCTATGATCTTGTAACTAACTGGTTGGTTTATTAGATATACATGGCTAGAGTTATATATGATAAATAACAGGTTGTTTGAGGCCGCAGGACGGCCATGTCATCCCCCGTTCTTGTGGATTTGGGGTGTGACAGACGATGCAGTTTACCAGCACTAACATCTTCGACTGCATCACTGTCATGTTCCTGAGCAGAAGCCTAAGCTTTACGCTTCTTTTTCATTTATGAGCCCATCTTCGCCTGAGAAAAATTTGCCCTTTAAGTCCTCCAGTGTCTGTTGTCAAAATTTTGCCCTTCCAAGTCCTCAGTGTCTGTCGTTTGACGGAGAAGTTGCATAGGCATATGGTGATGCCCAATCGAACAATAGAAGGCAGTTAAGTAATTCATCGCGACTGTAAGTTCGAGCATGCTAGGCACAGAAGTAGCATTGGCAATGCATTTTAGAGGATGGAGAAATTTCTCAGCTTCAAATAAACCGCTCGAAACTTCACCAAGTTCCTCCAGAACAGAGGCCTTTGCCTCTTTTGCAGGCTTTACACCCAATCTTCATCTTCATGTAGAAAACATGCGCACAAGAGCTTCGGCCTCACAGGGGTACCAAATTCATCCTCAGCCCTTTGGACAGCACAGATGAAGCTTCTGGACATATTTTGTCTCAGCATCTGCTCAAAGTTCCCGTGAAAAGATTTCAAGTGAGACAGGAGGCACCAAGAAACATGACCACTTCCCAAGTACCCAACAAGTAGACAGCCCTCCCATCAACTTCCAATGTTTCCATACCATAATTCGGCGAATCTAAAGGATCTAGAATCTTTCCTGGCCACCTTGTTTGACTTTTGGTTTTCACCCATACTACATCGCCTACAGCAAAGCTGACGCTGTCCTTAACTATCTACCATCCTATCCAGCACCCGACACGGTTCTTTCCTGCTCTTCTTCGATGCCCAACTGATGGCCACCTTCAAGAACATGATCCTGAATTGCTCCCCTTGCCGGTCCAGGAAATTCCACAAAAAGAGTTATACCATTGCCAGATAGTTCATCTTCTCATATGAATCCTCTACAATCAAATCCGGTGCTTCATTAACTTCAATTCCTCCATCTAGGACCACTGCACCATCACCAAACTCCTAGCCCCTTTCACCACATGAGCTCGCATTTCTTTCACCAGCATTGCAATTTCTAGATCGCCAACCATCGCATCTTCAATGAATGCCCGAACTTACCCCTGCACCAACTTACCCCTACATCTTTAACATCCTGAGCTGCCGGTCCTCCAACGCTCACAGAAAAATCAACGCCGTCAACTGTCTCAATATTTCTACCGGCCCCTTTGACTGGAACCTCCAAGTTACATGCCAAGCCGCTACATTTCTCATCTACAGTTCCACTCCAGTTCTTTCCTTCAACACCACAGGTTACATTCTCATTCCCATCTTCAAATCTGTCGTCACAGGGCATCAAAAAGATGCACCATTACACCTTAGACTCGAATTAACATTTTCTCCCACAGAACCAATATTCAACCCTGACCCACCACCATCTTCCCTGGAACTAAACAGATGATGCTCTGTAGTATATTCTCCTAGAATTTCAACTCGTGGGCGTTGAGCCACTGATCCCTTTAGGTCTTCCATCAAAAGAAAAACGTTCCAAACATCCTTTTTATTTTATTTGTCCCCTTTTCCCATGGATTTACTCACTCCTAGAGGTGAGCGGTTCCACTCGTCATAACAAGTTCTCTAATTTTTAGAACTAAGAACCTACCATGCATACCTAGGAACTTGGAACCTACCCTGTCACAGATCCCGAGGTCGGTTTCAAGATCTACCTCGGTTCCACCTGCTCTAAATTGAACGATTGCAATGAATCATCACTTTTAATAATCACCATTTGCTACAATCCACTTATCACAATTTATATTAGATACACGAAGAATATAAAATATTAAGAAAGTGAAAGTCTCAGTCATGTGTCATGACATGATTCTCTCATACTCCTCTACCCTTGTGAGTAGTGCTTGGGGTTGTCGAGTGAATAGTGAAGATGCAGAAGGGATGAATATAATTAGGTCGTGGGAGTGATATCAGAACAGTTAGTGCTAGGAGTTATAGGATGAAACGACTATATCCTTAGGAGCTCTGAAGACGGGATTGGCCTCTCATGTACAAACTGATTGAAAGCTGATGCCGCTTTCCCGATAAAGCCATGACAGGCCGAAACTAATTGTAGTGCCTAAAGTATTATGTGTGTCTCGCTCGATGAATTAAACGCCTAAGCTAAGCTGAGCGTGGTACGATCCAATACAAGGAAGCTATTCGCCGTATTGTTCTTTAGAATAACTATAAAACGAGGGCTGGCTTGGTGTGAACGACCCGCCAGGTGTAGCATGGGCTATTCCGCGACCAAAGAACAGCCAGCCCATGACACATGGATATTGTTGGAAATTTAGGCTTATACTAGTGATTTTAGATTACACACTCATCGCAAGATTGTGCAAAAACATAGAATAAGAAAAACACAAAGACTTGTTCTAAGTATCTAGGTTTCAGGTTGGACCTATCGGAACAGGTTCCTCAATTTTTGGAATCTGAAATCTACCATTCATACCCCAAAACCTGAAACTGGATTGATTCCCACCGATCTGATTCTCACCTGCAACCATGCTCACCCCTACTCACTCCTACAGACGATAAAATAAAACAAGATTCCTAAAAGAACGAAACCCATTAAAGATAAGGCCAGAGTCCCTATTCCGGGAAATAAATTGGTGAGCAAGAAAAGAACCAAACACACCCCTGAATGATATATTTCCGTTTCAAACCTTTGACATGGAAGACTGTTACTCAATTACATTATTAATGCTTGAGCCCCAAGGTTGGACGGACAAATTCACGAAGAACGCGACCAAGTCCAAGTCAAATAGAAACACCTTTCCACTATCCATAAAACGGCAACTTGGGCTTGGGCTTCTTCCATACCTCTGACCTCTTTTCTTTTTTAAATTCAATTGATTGGAACGAGGCGAAAAGTTTGACCCATGCCCACCAAAAAACAAGATACGAAAAAATAAAAAAGAGAGTAAAAAACGCTAGAAGACAGAACACCTTCTGCCATGAACCCCGAACCTCCATGAAGCAGCTTAAACTTCCTTTCTTCGGAGGAAAACTTCTAGTTGCAGTTTTGCATCTATAAAGGCAAAGCCAGCACCTTTCCCACACTAAAAACGAACGAAGAAAAAAGACAATCTTACCAAGAACCAGCCACCACTTTGTTAATGTCAAACTACCAGCTATAGACACACTCACATGACTCATCTACCTCCATAACTAAGCTACTTGCCCATAAAGGAAATTTGAATGGACCAGCCATGGTCCACACCGAATAAAGATGCATGATTTAAGTAAAGAAAGGTGGCTAGAGATAAAAGGTTTCGCCAACTATGTCTATCGAGACTTGTCACAAAAGTTTGAGGATCTGGTTGTGTTGTGACGGGTCATTCAATGGAAATGTAATTATTTCTGCATAGCTGTGCAGATCATGCAAAACGTTCCCATAACATGTCAAACAAGGAAGCGTTTTGTTTTCACTAGAATTTCTCCGTTCTCCATTGAATACAAACAGTCAGTGTGATACAGGGAACCAAGAGAAAAACTACAGCCGATCACCATAACCAAGCACAAACATCCCAAAAGATCAGCAAAATCATACAAGTTCCGAAAGAGTCTTTTTCCTATCCTACTATTAGTAGCCATGTCAGTGTCTGATTCCTGATGGGCCTCCTCCTCCACATCTTGCAAACCATTTTCTTGCGCGCCGCTATGTGCTTGAACACATCGAAGCAAAAAAACCGATCTTTACTTTACACGCCCCACACCCCAGTCAAGTCCATCCATGGTCCCACGATCAGCCGCTTCACGCCCCAAATTGCTGTAGAACCGAACAAATTATTCTCACTTCTGTTGTGACTTTATACGGTGAAGTATCCTATGCTATACAGATGTACTTGATAAACAAGAACTTGCAGGAAATCTACTTGATCAGAGAGAAACTTGCAGGCAAAGATCGATAGCATATAGCACAAAGCAGAAATATATACATCTGATGCAACCGAAGAACAATGAATCCACCCACCCATAGGAAAAACCGGTAAAGAATGATTTTCCTGCACTTATAATCTGCGCATCAATACCAGTTTTTACTTTTCAACTCAACGTGACAGAAACAATCGTCATATTCTGATGCAACCCAAGCTCTCTCTATCCATGACTTGACATCAAAGGCATACACGTGATTTCAAATTACGGTTTGTCAGAGGGATCAAGATTCACACCTTGGTTCTGAAACTTTTGATGATTCTAGTGAGCAACCCATCCCCTGCTATTTGCCTGACTTTTTGTATCAGCTCATGCCTTGAAATCTTTCCCCCCTGGAAAACGATGGTCATGTGTTAAGATAATTTCAACATTAGAGGTAAGCAGAAAGCAAAGCTTGAAAGACAAGAACCAAGCGATAACAATGTTGATGTGGCCCTTACTTTGTGGTCCTTGTAATACTTGGAGATCAAACTGACGTCGGTCGGACGTAAGATTTTCGAGAGTTCAGAGATCAAAGACGGAAACGGCATCCAAGGGGAAGTTGGTTTTCGCGACTTTTCCGGAGTTCTCGACAACCCTACTGCATATAAAATTTTCACATATTATCAGACCACTTGACGCAGACAAAGTCAAACACACCAACATGAGTCAATGCAAAAGCGGGAACAAGGAAGAAAACTTGATTACCTCTCAAGCAACAAGGGGCTCTTAAGCTGATTATATACTCCGGCAACACGTGAGTATTCATGTGGGTGCTCCAAACAATGTATCTCGTCGGAGATGATAAGTCGTCGGCACCCGAATCGTACTGCTCCGAACTCGGATGAGACTGTTCCGAGCCAGGACTAACAAGCTCCGATTTCCCCAGTATGACCCGGCAAAGCAACAGATACCTCAGGCCGTCTTCGTCTTTAGGGGCCGACTTAACGCTGCCAAAGCATTACAAAAAGAACTACTAAATGAAAATACTAACACGAGTCCAAAAACAATATGCTCGCGAAATATGCCATGTCCAATTAGATAGAAGCGACCATAGCCTAAAAGGAAAATACTAAAGCGCGCTAAATCAGCATATCTTCATGGTCGTATCACTTTCCAAACAGTGTCTCTCGATTATTTACGCTCGATTGTTTACGCAATTAAAAGGGAAAAAGAAAGGAAATCTGGTACCTTTCGAGCGGATGATTATCAGGAGCAAAATAAACTCCACATCCATACAAGCCATCGTTCCCAAGCTTCCCACTGTAGCCAAAGCCATAGGACAAGATCTTGGACACCTCTTCCTTCGAAGTCGCATACCATGCGTACCTCACATTGGCGGTTTCGCCGCCGCCTTTCTTCTGCACCGCCTCCGAGTAAACTCGAAACGCCTGGGCCCGCGCTTTCGCCGCGGCGCTGGAGTAGCAATTCTGGTGGATCGCCGCCACGGTAACTCGAGCCCCTAGCATGCCTAGCCGCGAGATGAGTCTCTCCTTGATAAGGCGGTGGGCCTTGTCTCCCTCGCCGAGCTCCATTAACCCGCCGCCAGTGAACGGCGATGGAGCAGTGCCAGATTGGTCGGAGGAGACAGCGCTCTCGCAATCGGAGACGGACGAATCCGGATCCCGATCGTCCATCGGGTCGCTCAGATCCGGTCGGTTGAGGTCGATCGCCGGATGGTTGAATTCGCGTGCCACCGCATCGGGAGCGACGGCGCGTGCAGTTGGCGACCGACATTGATGCGTATAGTCCGTCATCTTTGACCGAAGCTGGAACGTCCCAAGAAACTGCGTTAGAAAAGAAACAACATTCACAAAACTTTCACGACTGCTAAGACAAAAACAAGAAAAAAGAAAAAAAACTTTCGCAAACTTGGTTACGGATTGAAGAAAGCAAAAAACCGAGTCGCAGAAGGAACGAAGATGGAAAGGCGGCAATTGCCAAAAAACAGAGCCCCCTCGCGGATCACCGACCCGAAGCGCCACCAAACGAGAGATCCTCCAAGTCAAGCAAACGAAAGATGGAGGAAACAGAAAACAAAGAGAGCGGCGGACACGGAACGAGAAAGTTGACGGTCCAACAATTCTCAGCAAGACAGAGCATGCATTCTTCAAGGAAGCTTACGGAGGCGCGCCTTCAGGAGACGTGGGAGGAGGAGGAGGGAGATCTCGCTGGCTTCAAGAGAAAGACTCCAACCACAATGCAACAGGAAGGGAAGCAAGCAAGAAGGAGGAGGAGGAGCAATCTGGCTGGATTTCCAGAAACAAGCACGGGAGGATATACAGAGAAAACAGAGGAGGAGGACCCAGCGTCAGTGCGCGACCTCTGAGCGTGGTGGGGTCATGGGGAGATTCAATGAGAGAGCAGAAGCGGGAGGGGGGTTCTTTGCTTGAAGATGAAGGAGATGAAGGAGATGAAGGAGAGCGGATTTGGAGTTTGTGGAGGAGGAGGAGGAGGATTTTTAAAGAATGGGAAACCAACGGAACCGCCTCGCTTTGCCTCTCTGGCGAACCCACGCGCACACGTAATTGCACTATATAACGCTCCTTTGGCGGTGCCGTTGTTGAAGCCGCATGCAGTTTTTTCTTATCCAGCCGGTAGTTTTCGTGCACGGAGAGGGATAGATTAAAAAAAAAAAAATCTAAAAAAGGAGAAAAAAAAAATCATTATGAAAAAATATAATGTGTTTCTTCTTCTTTCGGTCAAGGAAAAGAATGATCTGTTTTGAATGCTAGGGATTTCGTGCTCAAATAACAGCCTCTCGAATTACATATTAAAGGGTCAATACCACAAACAAAGAAAAAACTCTAGAATTAGACCCATCGCAACACGAGTATTATGAACTTTTTGTTTGTATCGCTAAAAATCCTAAATTTTCCCGTCGTGACACGATACCAAAAAAAAAAATTGTGTCATAGAGTACCCGGGTGGAACTGAAATAGAATGGATATATATCAAACATGTATAAGTTGAGATTTTTTCGTGTCACAAAAAAAAAATTTGAGAGTATTTGCATCACATTGAACAAGTTTACAGTTTTTTGCGGCACAAAAAGAAATAGGGTATTTGTGTTACAGTGGGAATAGTTGGGTTTTTTTTGTGTGATATTTTCCCTAAAATCAATTAATCGGTATTCTATTAACGAATGTTCACGAACACTTGTTAAACATCATAATATATAGATTCATCAATTTAAAGATATTATTATCTTCTCCGTGTGATGCACAATCAAAGTGTTGAGAATGAAGATATTTCTTTATTGGGTATAATTAACCAAAAACCCTAAAGGTATCAGCTAACGAGATCTGTTTAATAATTGGTATAGTATCTGTCAGTGAAAAGGTAAAATATTTATGCACGAGAACGTGACGGTTCCCGCTCTCGCGCACGGAACTAATCGAACCTCCTGAGGTCCGAATATTCCGTCATCGCATTATGAATAATTAGAGCACTGAAATCAACAAAATCAACATATTATAAGTAGCATGAGAACCCAACGCTGACCGCCGGTCCGCGAAATTGATTTAGAACCCTCGAACTTTGTTCTGCCATAAATAGAAATTTCTACTGGCGATGCCGGAGCGACGATGAGTTACAAATTGCGAAAAATCCCGTTTCGGTTTTTTTTTTGCTAAATAAATCCCGTTTCGGGTTAAATAGATAATTTTGTGCACTAAAATTTAAAAAAAAATCTATCAATTAAAGTACGCCTTGATAAAATTATCCACCTGGCACCCAAAAAATAATAAAAATAAAAATGAGATTATCCAGAAGAAATAAAATAGAAAAAAGCGCAAACACAGAGGCGGGACCGACCACAGGTAAAAGAGTAGAGTAGGACTAGGAGATATTTTGGGCGACGTGAAAAGACGAGACTGCCCTCGAAACCGCCCTTGACCATACAAACGTCAAAAAGACCGGCACCCCCGGTCTCTCCACCCACAGTTTCGTTTGGTAATTATCCTCTTTTGGCATTTTCGTCATTTACTTATTTATTTATTGGTAAAATCAGTAATTACAGGCCACGAGGCCCCAAATTCCAATACCCTTTAAAATAAATTAAGTACCGAAATTTTTTTTTTAAATGCCAAAAAGGGTTTGCGAGGCCCAAAATCATATGCCCAAATCATTTTATTTATTTACCCTTTTTTTATAAAGAAAACGGCACAAATGGTCCCTGAACATTAGCCCGTTGTGCAACGCGGCCCCTAAACTTTTAATTTGTTCGATATGATCCATGAACTATACCCCAATGTGCAACGTGATCCGGAAACTTTTAAATTGTTTAATGTGGCTGTGTTCAATTTCCCTGAACTTGAATTAATAGAAGGACAACACAATATTGAACATTTTTGTGTAGTTCAAGGACTAAATTGAACACGTACCAAAAGTTCAGAGACCGCATTGAAAAAATTAAAAGTTTATGGATCACATTGCACATTGAGATAAAGTTCAAGTGCCACATTGAACAAATTAAAAGTTCAAGGATTACATTGCACGTTGACCAAAGTTGGGAGATTATTTGTGTCATTATCCCTTTTTATATTTATATATTTTGGGGTGCATCGAACAAGTGCAGTCGGCAGGCATGAATGAATTCTTAGAATATGCTCGTATGAAATTATTTCCTTTTTTGATACGATATATTCGATCATTTTGCTAATATTCTCTTTCGATTTGCAATAATGGAGGACAATGAATATACCGGCTCCACTTCGGATTCATTCGTCGATTGCGTGCGTGTGCTATACCTTTGTTGCTTTGATTTGGCAAGGCAAAGCAAATTATCTAAAATTCTACGGCATCCTCCTTTATGCCCTCTTAGGAAGTCCGTCCACGAAAAGGAAATCGAACTTGTTCTCTTCCTGGCGAGCAAGAAAACCAAATTCGAACTGCTCAAATCGGTAGGACAACGATCGCTCTTTCAACCCTTTGGCTCCAAGAAAGATAGGGTTTTTATGTTTAGCACGCAAGGAAAAGGCTTGCGCAGGTCGGGCCGGGTCGGAATTGGGTCTGTGGTGTTTGGTCGGGAGGATAAGTTAGGTATGATGCGACGGCAGATTAAGAGATGTCACGACCCTCTGAAAGTGGACCCTAACGGATTGCTGGGCAGGCACGAATGATTATCTCACGAGGTGATGGTTACGCTAACCATTTTTCTCATTAATTCATTATTGTCTTAGAGTCGCCACTAATATCTAGTAGGCATTGCACTTTAGACCTATGCAAACAGGATAATTTAGTTTCGAGAGGACTTAATTACGCTAAATTAAATTAACGCCCATGATTTGGTACTTCTTCTCTTTATGCAAATTTTGGTTGATTTTTATTTTCTTAACATGCATCTACATGTCCATGCATATTCGATGACAAATCAAAGTTATCAAACGTGAAGGCTTCATAAAGGACCCTACGAGCAAAGATTATAAAGATTATATCTTGGCAACAATTAGACATGAAGGCTCCAAGAAAGACCTTGTGAGCGGTAAATGGAGAGTCAACAGAAAAAAAAAAAAACTTGTACAAGTTTCCTAAAATAAATCAAGAGTTAATACCACAAAAAATCTCAAACTAGTACACTTGTAACAAATTTATCCTAAACTAATTTTTTGACCACTGAAAACCTTAAACTGGTACGCCTGTGACAAATTTACCTTTTGTTAGTTTCCGTTAAATTTTACCTTCAAATTGTTGAATTAGATAACACGTGACAGTTGATGGGTGTACCAGTTTAGGGTTTTACCCCCCTGTTTATCACAGGTTTACCAATTTGTTATTTTTTGTGATATTAATCCAATTTAACGGAGGGTATATTTGTCACAAGTGTACCAGTTTGGGGTTTTTTTAGGTTAAAACATTAGTTTTTGGTAAATTTGTCACAGGTGTACCAGTTTGGGTTTCGGTAATCAAAAAATTAGTTTGAGGTAAATTTGTCACAAGTATACCAGTTTGGGATTTTTCGTGATATTAACCCATAAATCAATGCATAAAAAGAATTATTTTTACTCTAAGATGATGCAAATATGCAATCTTCCCTTAATTGCAAATGCAAACTTAAAGGATATTTTCATGTGATTTTTATATGAGGATGCAATCAAAAGCTATTGATATACAAGATTTGATTTCTCATATTTGACAGGCGAATGAGGCATGTAAATAAATATGGAACCTAGAGGACCTAAATGTGCACTAAAATACTTATGCATGGGAAATTCTAATTTCTCTAACTTGGTGGGCGCTTTCTTTCCCTCCTCAGAGGTTCTGGGTTCGAATCCCCGCTCGGTTTCGTAATTTAAGCGGGGGTCCTGGCGGTGGGTTGCTGGGCTAGTCTCCCCCGAGGTATAGGCGCCCCGATTACCTGTGCGGGCTCGTTCCCGGGGAATGGTGACGGATCCTCGGTTACCAAAAAAAAAAAAAAAATTATCGGACGCGAATGTGACGCGAAAAATCAGCACTATGGCTTTCAATCGAAATGGTTCCCCTCGTAATATGCAAACAACACATGAAAATATTGTATCATACAACCTTGTAGCACGGTGCGAATGTAATGCAAAAATCGGCATTACGGCTTTCAATCGAAATGGTTCCCCTCGTAACATGCAAACAACACGTAAAAATATTGTATCATATAACCTTGTAGCAAGGGTAATGCCATGTAAATCCAATTTTATTTTTATCTTTATGACCCTCGACGCAAATACGTTACGCTAGCTTGACATGAAATTAAATACGGTAATGCCATGTAAAATTAACAAAAGTTAAATTATGTCATATGCACCTGTAATGCAAATCTAAAAAATGGAAAGTTTCCATAACATAGCATAACATGAATGATTTTTAACGAGAACTAAACGTGATTTAAAGTGCGTGGCATAATGAATTACTATGCCATAAACTTAGTCTCAATCAACACGCTAGTCCAAAGATCAAACAAATTCGAGTACTCAAAGTATCAGAATCTAACTATAGTCTATATCAGCAGTTTCATGACCCAAAACGATTTAATAACCAATGATACCTTTAACCATCCTGCAGCTTTGCGACGTCGGACGGCAATGTCGCAACGATGAGATGCATGGTGCAACTAGTCCGATGACAGATCGGTTTGATTCGGCGGGGCAGCAAGGGAAGCGAGGATAGCGAGCCTAATTCACAATAGCGAACCGAATTAGCGAGCGGCGACGCACAACTGCGTACTGAATAGTGAGTGTTGGCGCTGCGGTATGGGTCTGGTTTCAAGGACACTTTGACCGGCGACTTCGAAAGCGGCAAGTAGAATAGGTACGGTGACGAGCCGGAGCGGCGACCACAAACCCAAAAGGTGCAGTGAGATGGACTGGACTGGCTTCGGATACAACAATGGACAGCTTTGGCAAAGGTTGGGGCGACGCACGCCTCGGTTAGGCGGCGATTCGGCAGCGCGAAGACAACCACAGCAACGAACTAGGACCTAGGGGTTTGGTACAGTAGCTCAGGGACCATTCATTATCAGATGATAGCAGCTAGTTTGGTGCAGACGATGGCAACAGCTGCTTTGATGACCACCACTCCTCGGAGCATAGTCAAACCGGCGTGTCGGGCAGCGAGAGCAATGGCAACGACGCGACATCAAGACGCGGCAAAAGATGGAAGAGCCGGAGCTGTTACTGCCGCCGGCATGGGAGTCTTGACAGGAACTTGGCCAGCGCGGTCTGGCTTCATGACACTGTTGGCCGATCGAAGGAACGATGTTGGGTTCTCGACGGTGTGGGCGGATTGATGATAAAGATTAGACATAGATTCTAAATGACCTAAGAATGCCTACATGCGTAAATGACATGCAATGTATCTACGTTTTCTTTTCTTGTTTTTCTTTTTTTCTTTCTTGGCTGAGAATAGATTCTGAGAAATCTAATCTCAAATTTAGCAAAAATGAAATGTTTAATGAATAAAATGCTATTTTTTAAGGAAAATAAGTTCCAACATTTCTTATAAAATACATGAAAATGAACTTTGGACAAAAAAATTTAGATGTTAGAAAGCGAACATAGGAGAGATTTGGTGCTGTCGAGCAGCATCTCAAGAATATCTTTATAAGAAAGGAACTCCACTCAATGAATTGAAAAAAAAAAAAAAAAGCCCATGACACCTTAATATATTGTCCAATTCAAATAAAAATAAAAAAGATCTTAAGACTACATTTGTTTCACGAAAAATGAAATTTACTGGAAAAACTTTTTCAATTTCTTATTTTTGGCTATATTTTGCAAATAACATAGAAGTCATTACTTGACAATTTATAAAGCATATATTTGAGAAAAAGATCTTGCATACAACCCTAGATTCTGGGTTTAGGTGTCAAGTATCCAAGCTCGAGTGTCGAGAACTCGGGCTCAGGCACCCAGGTCCCCGACAAAGTCGTCGGGGACCCAATCATGGGTGTCGAGGTCTCAAGCCCAGCCTCAAAGAGTCAAGGCTCGAGTGCTGGGGCCCATCCTCAAGAAAACCAAGCCCAGTCGCTAGGGACCCAGACACGGGCACTAGGATGTCAAGCCAAGCACCGGAGCCTCGGGTCCGAGCACTTGGGTCTCGAGCTTGGCCTCGAGGGACCTGAGCATGTCCTCAAGGGACTCGAGTCAGGCTGTTGGGTCCCTAGCGTGGGAGCCAGGTTCTGTGCCTAGTTGCCGGGGACGTGGGCATTGGCACTGGAGTGTCGGTCTCGGCCTCTGCGTACCCTGGGCTCTGGTGCTGGTTGGCTGTGTTAGAGTTGGTTTCCTCGTCATTTATAAATGGTATAAACTCGCATGAGTGATTCAAAAGCACATGATTGCGAGACACGTATCGGGAGTAGCCTAGTAATCGTTTTTAGAAAAATGTTTTTCAAATTATTCATTTTTCACGAGACAAATGGAACCTTAACGTTATAAAAACAAATCCCATTCTTAAAATATTAATTCCAAAGGTCACACGATGCAAAAATTTTCCTAGTTTGATTACTAGACGAATGCTCTAAAGAAGCTATATAAAAACATCCTTGTACTAACAAACTTCCATCCTAACCACTCATCAATCACAGTATAAAGTATAAACATAGAAAAGGTAAGTACCAGAGAATTTTCTGATATTAGCCTACAAATTACCCACAACCAGCCTTACCAAAAAAAAAATTACCGACAACCAGAAACAGATGCAGATACTATACCTCAAAAGCCATGAACTTTTCATCCTCAAACTTACTAGACCAAGAGAAAAATGTGTAATCCTCGCATTCAGGGATCGTCTTTACTTGGTTCTGATTGAAAAACTAAACCAAAGTACGCAAATCATGCAGTTCGGTGTCGTTTCTTTATGCATGAAGTATTGGCCAGGGCGATGATTTGCGAACCACGTGCTATTTGGTTCAGTTTCTTGAGATCAGAAACAAGGGACAATCCACTGTGACGAAATAGTTAGGTAAGATAGTCATAGATAGCCAGACTGTAGAAGCCATAAACTACAAAAGGTTTCTCATTCCTGCCATAAGACTATCATGTCACAGTTGATTCAGAAAACAAGGATCCTAGCTACTTTGAGACTAATAAATTGGCCTCAACACCTAGCAATTTGTAAACCTAGACGAAGATCATTCGGATGCCTCTAGCTACTACTTAGAAGAAGAAGATGAAGAACCGACCATATTGCTGACCTTGCTCAGAAGGCTTTTGATATCTACCTCCAGCTTTGCTTTGGTCTCCGGGGAGAGATTGTCTCCCGAGTTCTCCAGCATCGACGTCATCATCTCCAAATTCTGCTTTATGAAATTCAGAGGCGGCGCCTCACTGGGCATAGTGCTCGATCCAGACGGGACGCTTGGAGGGTCAAAGTGATGAACTTGATACTTCATAAGAGCTGAACCAAACGGGTTGCTCTTCTCCAAGCTCCTACATGCGTCATCGGCATCTGTGTTCCTAGAGAAGACCACCTGAGCTGTATTAGAATCTTTCAACAGCTGGGTTTCAAATTCCTTGAGAGGCCCAAACCGGGAGAATGTGCTGATTAAAATTTCCCTCGTAGGAACAGGACTTCCTGCAGCAAAGGTCAAAATAAGAGCAGTTCCTTGGGCTTCTAGATTTGTCCCAGGGCTGATTCTATCTATCAGCCTTCCAGTAGCCAGCCTGTTAATCTGACACTGATTCTCGGATCCTTCTTTTGTTCTTCTCCTCTTCTGCTTCATTTTAACTGCCGGCGAGAGTGAGTTAGTTTTCTGAAAATCTTTTCCTGATGAGCCTGGAATAACCTGAGTTCCATTTAAATCAGGTATACTAGAATATAATTCCGCACCTTTCTCCTTTCTCTTTCTCTTCTTCCGCGCATTCTTGCCATCGACAGATGCAGATCCAACATCCAGGTGAGTATCTGTAGCAGCAGCATGCACAGATTGGTTTGCAATATCATCAGGAACCGTCAGCAAGCCTGCAGTCGTTTTGGTGAGAGACGCGGAGTGTGCGGAAGCTACTTCATCTTGGTTCCTCCTCCTCCTCCTCCTCTTCTTTGGCTCAGTTCCAGGAGTAATGCCCGTAACCAGGGTCTGTTCACCTTGAGGTCTCGGTATGGCACCGTCATTATTCAAATCCAATAAGCCATGCAATTGTTTGGTCCCCATATCCAAAGGCATCATCGTTCTTTTCTTTCCTGTCTTTTCTCCTTTAAGACTTCCATTTGTCATGAGAGGGATCATCTCCAGAGAATCCTTCAAGGGTGAGCTGCTACTGGTAGCAAAGGTAATATTCACATCTGATAAGCCGGAGAGAGACTTTGTTTTGATTCTTCCACCCATTTGCTGTTTGTGGCTAGCTCCAGTATCTGAATTCCCTTTTCCAGCCTTTCCTCTCTTCCTTCTCCCCTTCAGCTCAGAGTTACCAGCAGAGTAAGTGCTGGCAGCAAATCCCTCTTTGGGATCAGCAACGTCTTTGACACACTTTTCATATATGGCCTGATCATGATAAGTTGAACTTCTAAATCTGTAGGCAAGCCACCCAATCGAGTCAAAGTCATTACTTTCATTAGGATGTGTACATCCCAATGCCGCAGAACAAAGCTCGGCCAAGAACTCAGCTGATGAAATGCTTAATGACTCTGGAGTGGAGACATGACTATTAGAAGCCAACTTTTTAAACCATTTGCTTGGGAATATCTTACCGGTAGACTTGACAAATGAAGGAGAACCAGCGAACTCAATACCACATGCATCCACCCCGGCCCCTTCATGAGAACCATTCAAGGAGCCATGATCTCCTATTTCTGGAATACCTTCTTTATTTCCCCAGTTTACATAGGGATACGACAGGTACTTGCTCTTCTTTCGTGCTCTTGACTCAAGCCCCTTCTCATTATCTTCCTTGGACCCGTAGTCACTGTTTCCTCCCGCCTCTTCTTCTGATAGAGGATCCAGTTTACCGGCACTAACATCTTCAACTGCATCACTTCCATGTTCCTGAGCAGAACACCAGGTCTTACGCTTCTTTTTTGTTTTTAACCCATCTTCACTACCCTTTAAGTCCTCAGCATTGTCCTCGGTCTCTGTCGTTGGACGGAGAACTTGCATAGGCATATGGTGATGCCCAATTGAACAGTAGAAGGCAGATAAGTAATTTTTCACGACTGTAAGTTCAAGCATGCTAGGCACAGAAGTAGCAAGGGCAATGCATTTTAGATGATGAAGAAATTTCTCAGCTTCAAATAAACCGCTCGAAACTTCACCGAGTTCCTCCAAAACAGAGGCCTTTGCCCCTTCTTCAGTCTTTACACCCCCATCTTCATCTTCTGGTAGAGAGGATGCGCACAAGAGCTTCAGCCTCACACGGGTGCCAAATTCATCCACAGCCTTTTCGACAGCACTGATGAAGCTTCTGGACTTATTTTGTCTCAGCATCTGCTCAAAGTTCATATGAAAAGACTTCAAGTGAGACAGGAGGCACCAAGAAACATGACCACTTCCCAGGTACCGAACACGTAGACACTCGCTCTTGTCAACTCCCAATGTTTCCATACCATATTTCGGCGAATCTAAAGGATCTAGAATCTTTCCTGGCCACCACGTTTGACTTTTAGTTTTCACCCATACAACATCGCCTACAGCAAAGCTGATGCCGTCATTATTATCTGCCATCCTATCCATCACCTGACGCGGAGTTCTTTCCTGCTCTTCTTTGATGCCCAACTGATGGCCACCTTCAAGAACATGATCCTGAATTGCTCCACTTGCCGGTCCAGGAAACTCCACAAAAAGCGATATACCGTTGCCAGTTAGTTTCATCTTCTCAGATGAATTATCTCCAATCAAAGCAGGTGCTTCATCGGCTTCCAATCCTCCGTCTAGGACCACCGCATCATTACCAAGCTCCTCGCCCCTATCACCGCTTGAGCTCACATTTCTATCGCCGACCTCAACATTTGCCAAAATGTCCTCCGTGTTGCCACCAGCATTGCAATTTTCTAGATTGCCAGCCATCACATCTTCGACGATGCCCGCACTTACCCCTGCACTAACAGTAATAGTGCTCTCTCTTTCGACATCCTGACCCGCCAGTCCGACACCGCTCACCGCAGCATCAACGCCATCAACAATATCAGTATTTCTACCGACCCCTTCGACTGGAACCTCAGAATGAAATGCCAAGTCGCTACATTTTTCATCTACAGTTTCACTTCCTTTAACACCGTAACTTACATTCGCATTCCCAACTTCAGCATCTGTTGCCACAGCATCAACAGCTGTACCATTACCATTAACTTGAGACTCGAAATCATTACCATTTTCCTTCAGAGAATCAATATGCAAGCCAGACCCACAGCCATCTTCACCCGAACTGAACAGACGACGCTCTGTAGCGGGTTCTCCTAGGGTTTCGACACAAGGGCGTTGATCCACAGATGCTGCTTTCAGGTCTTCCATCAAGAGAAAAACTTACCAAACACACTCCTACAGCTGAGGAAAAGAACGAAGTCATTATTAGAACGAAACCCATTTAAGAAAAAGGCCCGTCTAACACATAAGCCACAAAATTACCAGAAAAAACCAGTCCTTGACTGGGTACAAGACGACCCAGAACGCAAAAGTTAAAAAAAACATCCAAAAAAAAAAACAAGAAAAAAAGAAGAAGGAAATGAAAAGGGAAAGAAGGCAAGAACACAAAATACCCGGAAAAACAGAAGGGTTGGTGACACAGACATCGGACGGAGTCGGAGTAGGGACTCTCCACAAATTCCAACGATCACCCTCGTTACGGTGCACAAAAAAGGTCGAATCTTTGGCAAGAGAAGGGGGCGTCGAAACGAGGGAGGGAGGGAGGGAGACGATGGATGAAAATGCTGCGAGACAAGAGCTCTGAAGGAAAGGAAAAGGGAAAGTGGGTGCTTGCCTAAGCCCTCGCCTGGTGCGTGGGTGGAAGGCCTATGCTTCCCTTGGGCTTAGTGATAGAGAGAGAGAGAGAGTATCGAGGCAGAGAATACGGGGTAGGCATTTAAGTGTGGGGAAGAGTTAAAAGACTGGGGGGACGAAGCGGAGGGCATGTGATTTCTGCGAGTCTGACCAGATGACGAGAAGAGCTCCGTAGAGTAGGAAAAGAAGTGTAAGCTTCTGCTCCTGCCCACGTATGTCATTAACACACTTGTCATTTTACAAATTTGCAGCCGTTGGAGGGCTTATTTGGGTTCCCTCTCGGGATGAGTAAAAGTTGATGGTGGAATTCTGTCATGGGCGATGGCCTAGGTAAAGGGGCGCTATTAAGTATTAATTTCGAGTATAAATATCGAGATTTTCTCATTCAATATACGAATGCCTTATACTGTCCACTGACGTGTGAGTATGTATTTACCTTCCACGTGATTAGTACTTTTAGAAACGTTACACCCGTGTGATTATGGCAAGAAATGCACGTTTTTTATGCGACATTTCAATCCGTTCACCGATTTTCCAAATTTATGAGGAAAGAATACCATCATACAACAAACCGTCCGAATGATTAGGAGAGTTTAAGTGAAAGTGGGAAGAGCGAACTTTTTCTTGAGTCGAGATAGTCGAAGTCCTCACGCCCGAAGGAATTATACTTGTGACCCTACGCGAAGCATAGGATGATTGTACTCGAGTTCAAAATGTTAATTACGACGTTTTTAAAGGTCACATCTTCGCACGATATGGAGTTTCCACCCTAAATCGCCGAGTTTTCTCGTGAACCGAGTACATAGACAGGCCCGTGTGAGAGCTGCTACGATCCATGAAGGCCGCACATCCCGTTGATATCGGGAAGGTTACTCACACATGAACAACGACTACCACAATTTGAGCTGACTCCTAATCTTGGGCTAAAAAACACTGCATCGCACGTTGTAACACCAAATCGTACTCGGACTCCAGCGTAAGTTCAGAGATAAACACAAACTGAAAGAGTCCTGAAGCACCAGAGGATCACATCCCCATTAGAAATAGTCCACAATAGGAAAGGAATGCAATCCCCCGTTCAACACACCACTGAATACCACAGGCCTGTCAACAAACATGCATCTGAACATCACTCATACAATGAGACCTTAGAATTCCAGACAAGCATTGGAACACACAGCGGCGTAACCTCGAGCCATCTTGGCATTAGGAGGAACATGAGATGGGAGATCACTAATCAGAGCCTAGCACTTCGAAACCTAGCCTTCAAATCAACAGATCCGTGAACAATCAGCCAAGAAGCTGAAGAACTCTAAACAACTGCATCCACGACCAACGAGCCAAGAACGTGCCATACCTGACATATATCAACAACAAAGGCTCCTGTTCTCAGAAAATACTATGAAAAAGTATTCTTTACATTTTCCAAGTCCGTTATTACAACTTCAAGCCACGAGATACGGTTTTGTATATATTGCTATCATCATGGACAGCTTCAGGCATCAGCCACCTTCTCAGAGGTACCATCATCATCATTTCATGGACAGCTTCAGGCATCAGCCGCCTTCTCAAGAGGTGCATCCTTAGCATTATCGATGCTTCCATTCAACTTAGCACGTTTAGCTTCATAATCTTTTACGGCTGCCTTTATTGCATCCTCAGCAAGCATGCTGCAGTGCAACTTAACAGGTGGAAGAGAGAGGTGCTTTGCAATTTCCCTGTGAGAGGCATCAATTACAAACCACATTCAGGAAAAACGTACAAGGAGTACATCAAGAACCACAACATAAGAAAAATGAGGAATTCACTCGTCAGCACATATTTATCAACGCCGTTAGCATGTCAATCAAATATTCCTTGTAAATCCAAAGCAACATTTCTACTTAAGCCAAGTGCCAAAAATGTCCACGCCAAACATGTTAACATGTCTTCCTAGATATTCAAGAAATGCAGAATTCTCGATCCTGTACATGTGGGCCTCACTCAGCAGTACAATGTGAAAGAAGACTGCTCTTGACAAGCAGTATCAAACTATCACCCATCTTTAATTTTCTGCACTAAAATACAAATGAGAAGAACAATTAAATTATTACTAATGAATCTGAATGTAAGTGCAAGAACCGTCAGTTGATTCCATGCCCAATAAAAAAACATAAAACCACAAATAGTAGCAGGCTTACAAAATCACTGGAAAGAAAAATTACAAAAGTATTCACCAATTAAAGAGAGCTTACGTGTTCTTAATGGATACGACTTCCTCCATCTGCTTCCCTTTCACCCATTCGGTCGCTGGAACAAGTAATTAGAATAAGAAATTAGTATAAAGAGGAGGGATTTCCTAAACTGACAACACAATGCCCAACTCAGAGGAAATTCAAAATTCTATGAGCGTATTGGACAATTACAATTATCATAGCATAGTTGGGAAAAAGCAAAGGCTCATCTTGCAGCTATATGCAGAATCTACAATTTGATAAACGAATATAGTGAAATTGATTCCCGCTTCATTGCAAACATCGCACAGGAAAACATACCTAGAGCTTCCACTAAAGCCCCTTAATAAAACAACTTTAGAAATCGTCCTTCAACAAAATATGCAGAAAAATTTCATAATGGCTTTAGAGAGGGTGACCTCATCATCATCCCAGGAATGGATTAAGAAAACAGAAGGAAACCAAAAGGAGGTCCAGCTGACACTCCGCATCAGCCACAGGGTACCCTACAGTCTACAGACACGTCTGGCAAGTTCAGAACTGCAATACCTTACATTGAGATTCAAATTTTCAGCCACAAGGTAGCCTATAATCTAGGATTCTCGTTCATAATATTTTTTATGAATGAACAACACAAAGCAGAGACGAAGTGCATCTCTCTGCCCAACCACCAGCAGGTCCAAGTGAAGATCTAACTCAAGCAACGTAAACTTCTGCAGTGTTTGATTACAACTTCTACATAAGAGAACAAGCCAACTCGCATAATTTCTTTACCTGACCAATCCAAAAGATTTCAGAGACAACCCTGTCTTGCATCAGCAGCGGACAAAGATTCAAAACAAGAAAGAATGATGACCGATGAAAAGAACAAAGTAGTCTGACCCTCTCCAAGAAAACATCTCATATAAACATCCAACAAACGAGAATAGACGATAATTGAAAAGAAAGGGAGAAAATCAGGAAACAAGCAACTTAGATCAACATTTCTGGCACTCGTTGCATTACGACGTTGCCATACACCATTTCGCATCGGCCTACGCTACACTGGAACAACAGAACATAACCAGTGCGTCAACTTTTTATCCCCAACTAGAACAACGACACATCCGGTGGATTCAAAAATGATCGCTGAGTAAAAGTAGAACTCACATCATCAGCAGATCGCGTTACAACAAAAACATACTATTCCCTACCTAACATGCTCACAAAGTCACAATCAACAAGATGACAGCAAGAAAATTGACCCCGCATATGAAAAACTAGGAAAGTAATTGGTCAGTCATTCATCGGGACACCAGACACAATACACAAATTCATACATCTTTCAGTCCGCCAACAGAAAACCTCATACGCAGGATCTTCAACTTTCCTGGAAACCACACACGCCGTAACGTACTCCCAATTACCTCGCTAAGCTCGAAATTCAACTAAAACACATTCAAGACAAACCCAAGATTTCACCTTTATCTATCTAATCTCCGCAGAACCAATCCACCAATGCAAATCACCCAACACAAAGCGAAAACAGACCTCGCCCCTCGAAAGGGCTTCCAAGTTTTTTTTTTCCGCGAATACGCACCGACAGAGGACGACGCGATGGCGGACCCGCAGCCGAAGGTCTTGAAGCGAGCGTCCACGATCTTCCCGGTCTCCTCATCGACCTTGATCTGCAGCTTCATCACGTCGCCGCACGCCGGCGCGCCCACCAGCCCCGTCCCGACCGTCGGGTCGCTCTTGTCGAACGACCCGACGTTCCTGGGGTTGTTGTAGTGGTCCACCACCCGCTCGTGGTACAGCCGCGGCGGCGGCACCGCCGCCCGGGCCGGCCCGGACGGGGGGCCCCGCGGGGCCAGTCCGGCGAGCTTCTTGACACCGATCCTCAGCATCATCGCGAGGAAAAAATTGCTGAATTTGGAGCTCCGGAGCTTGGGATTGAGAGGCTGAAGAAGATCGACTTTCTAGGGTTTGGGAAGGATGAATGGCGGCGAAGAGGCTGCCTCCGGAGGAGGACACGTGGAGGGACGAGGGCTTTCGTCGGGTTTTGCGAGCCTGGGTCGGCGCGTATTTTAATATCCTCCATCTCCACCGTTGATGGAGGAAAGGGGTGATCTTCTGCGGTGTTTATTTATATCCGACGGTCACGATCGCGAGCGCGAAGTCAACTGTTAGGGTTGACTTTCTAGATGGGCCACATGGCCCGTGAGAGAAATGGTGACTCGGTAGGATGGGCGATCATCGTTTCATCGGGCGGGCGGGCGGGCGGGCGGGCTCAGGGCCGGATCGGCACTAAGGTCCGGCGTAACTTGTTGCTCAGGTTTGCCGATCTTAAGTTTTCGGTGTATTATTCATCGGAACGGGCAGGGTTTTCTCGCCGAATGGCATCGTCCAACCCGACCCAACATTGCCTTTAGGGCCCATTTGGTTCGAGACGGCGTGTTTGGGCCCGTCGGCGTCAAGCCCATGATCAGATCTACTTAGTAGACAGCCTTCTAGCCAAGAATGAATTGTATAAATGATAAGAAGGAGGGCTCGGCATTTTCGTTGCTATCTTAGGCCAAAATTCTCGCCTTAATCAAATAGATTACATCCTAAGATGCTCCTAATGATGATGATGATGCATCCTCACGCCCAACACCCCACTAATCTAGGTAAAATTTTAAGTACTGAAAAATTCTCATTACAAACTTTTGGCGGTACGTTGAAATTTGCACCTAATTGTTTTAAATCGAATATAAAAACTTGGTTTTTCCTCGTTAAGTAGACCTATTTATATCTAATATTCTTTATAAGTCAGTAAAGAACCAAAGGAAACAAAACGTCATATTTAAATATGTGGTCAAAGGTTGCTTAATTGATAAAGGCCTGTTAATTATCTAATTTTATTGTTAAAAATTTCTTATAATCAAACACTCGAAATTTTTATGATAGCATTTAGATTGTTGGAGATCATTGAAAGATATAAGAGATTCTCATATCTTCCTTGATTCTCCATGTCTCTGAGAATTGTGCATTATTTTCCTTGATTATGCATATCCTTGATTAATTGCAATTGATATTGTAATATCATATTATTTAACATGGTAATTTTGTAAAACTTATAAATAGGCCCATGTACTCTTTTGTTAAAATATACAAAACAATATGTAGAAATTACATAATTCTTTTCTTCCGCATGTTTACTTACCTTGGTATTAGAGCTCTTCTTGTCTAAGGAAGTAACTGTCAAGCCTTTTACACTGTAACCGTAGCAACGTTATGTCAGCCGTGGCGATGTTTGTTTTCCACCAAGCTGCCGCCCTTGAGTGTTGTTCAGAAACTTTCGATTACTTGTTTCGAAAAATGAACACCACCATTAGACTCACCGCCATCAAACAAGCCAAATCCTGAAATTTTAATGCGCTATCTGCCCCTTGTATCACTTGCCAACCAGTTCTTGGAGATTTCAAGTCAATTCCTGAGGTATTTCGACATGCCAAGTCTATTTTAGACCTTATTTTCAACATATTTGTCCTCTGCGGTGTTGGTTTCTTCATCTTTGTTATCCATTCCACTCTTTCTCACTAGCAAATGCACGTAATGGATAAATTGGAAGTTTCACTACCTGTTCAAACCATTTTTAATTTTCAACCAAAAAAAAAACATTTTTAATAGTTTGAATTATATTTTATTGGATCAAAAAATATCGAGTTTTTTTAGAGGACATATGTGACATTCCGCAATTTCGCTCACTTGGGATTTATGAAATGATTTATTTTATTAATGTACTCGTAGTTAGTTCTCACCCGGAACTGATCATTCCTGGGATACTAACCGTTAGGGAAAGGCTAGTGAGGGATCTAAATTCGTACGAATAAACAAAATTCGATCGTGAATTGACTTTCGACCATGAAATCGTCGAGGTGATATTTTGAACCACTGTTGGCCGATCCAAGGATAGCTAGGGGTTAGTTCGTCACTGTCATAGTAATGGATCGCGGGTGATTCCGCCGGACCACGAAATGACTTGATGAATTATCCTGAACCTATACCGAAAGATCGTACCCCTCGGATCTAGTAATTGATCCTCGCAATTTTAATGACAACCGAAGTCGTTATGGTCTGAATAAATTGCACGTGACTCGATTTAGTATCAGTCACGGGTCGTACAGGCGAAATTCCCAAAAGCCACCTGTTAGTCTGAGAAACGCTCGAGTTACGTTATATATATATAATTTTAATATTGATTAGAGACTAAACCGAGCATCAGAAAATTTGGAAAGTCACGACAGGGCCTTTGGACGACGTTGTAATTGGAGCGTACAACTCTGGATTTCTTCGGATTTTTTAGAAAAGTTCGATTTCGGTGAGAAACGGAGAAAGTGACCATTTTACCCTTGGGAATTAATAAAGGGTTAGTTTTATGGGCAAAGGGCATCTTGGTCATTTTACCCTCAAATTTGGAAAAGACAATTTTGCCCCTGGACTTTTTGAGAAATTACAAGATTAACCTTGGATATTTTTGGTAAGATTCGATCTGGGCTGTCGATTTCAAGATTAGATCAAATCTGGACCGTTGGATCAAAATGTGAGAGAGGGGTATTTTGGTCATTTGCCAAATTGGGTCAAAAGTTACTATTTAGGTCCAAGACCCTTTCTCTCTCCTCTCTCTCCCCCATTCGGTTCTCCCCCTCCACCGTGAGCCCCCCCCTCCGATCTCTCTCTCTCTCGCCGGACCGCCGTCGCCGCCGCACCACCCACCGCCGCGCCACCGCTGATCCGCCACCCCCATCCCGCCGCTCTCTCTCTCTCACCCTCTCGGTCTCCCTTGGCCGTGAGCCAACCGGCCACCGCCCAAACCGCCGTCGCCCGCCGTTCCTCCCGATCGCCGCCGATCGTCATCGCCGCCGCAAGCCGCCGTTAGATCTTGGTTTTGCCGCCGCTTTCGCTCTAGCCGCATGAGTCTAGAGTCGGGTAAGTCTCGCCTAAACCCGACTTAGGATATTGGGTATCGACGGATGATTTTGGTTGGAAACTGGGTTTATTTGGGTGCGAAATTGTATGGATTAGGAGTGGAACTAATTGGCGGGCCTAAGAATCAAAATCGGACGAGTTTGGTGGATTTTTGGAGGTTGGTAGTTGGCTGTGAGTGATCGTTCAATGGGCTGTGATGGGCCGATCGGGACGCAAATTGGATTTTTAGAACCGGCAATTAATTATGAGAAAGTGCCGTGAAGGGCCGGAATTGATTTGACGCCATTTGGTTGGAGGAAAATGGCAAATTGTGTGTTTAATGCGTGTTTGAACTATGACTGGGTTGTGGTGATAAAATTGAGTGCGTGGTTGCGTGATTAAATGATTGAAATATGTTTGTCGAGTGCACGCTTGGGCCAAACTGATTTAATTATTAAAGTTGGCCATGTCAAATGCTTAGTGAGCATGTTTGCGTGTGAATTGATGCGTGTACGGGCCACGTGTGATTGGCCAGTTGAGTGTGGTAAATGCTTGTTAAGCATGTGCATAAATAAAAAGTGGATGTGGTATGACATGAGTTCGTAGAATTTGTGTCGTCCTGAGGCGTGTACGTTTACGCGGGACGATGCCCGGTATTACCGGAAGACTGCCAGCCTGAAGCGTGTACTTCAACGCGGGTTGCGCAGTAGGTGGTAGATGTTGAGCCTGATGCGTGTACTTCAACGCGGGCAAGAAACATGGCCTGAGGCGTGTACGTTTACGCGGGCCTGGAAGTGTTGTGAAAAGAGGTCACAGTGTACCTGAGGCGTGTACTGTAATGCGGGTCACTGGCGAGGTATGTGGAAAAGAGATATTGAGAATGGAACGAGTGCATGACATGAGAATTGTGTATGCTTGTGATTGTACTGAAGTGCCTGCTATGTGATAATGGTATGTGTGTGATTGTGTGTTTGTGTGATTGTCTGGAGGTACGTGATAGCCTAGGTGGGGTTTAGGGGTGTACTTACTGAGATGTAGTCTCACGGTTATTTTAACCAACAATTTTCAGAACCCCGACCTGAGCCATGAATCCTCCGCCACCGCCACCAGAACGTTTTGGGGTACCAGTGCACACCGAGAATGAAGTTGTAGAATTTCCCATGGGTGATGGCATGACCTGGATTAAGCATACTTCGACCATTTTTGTAGAGGTAGGAGTACCTTTATGGGAGACCCATGTTTATATCGCCTGGTTCTTCCGGGATGTAGATGGAGATGAGTTCGGGCCCGTTAGGGGTTTTTATGTTCCATTTGTCTTAGTTGGAGATTGGGACCCGTCTGCCATACCCCCGATAGATGGAGAGTTGACCAGTACATAGGTTAGCTTAGCGCAATCTGGGATGCATCCAGCACCCGCCGTACAAGGATCTTCGGAGGTTGAGCATGAACCCGAACCCGAAGCATCGCAAGCTGAAGATGACCCGATGGACATAGACTTAGAACCAATTCTTGAGGAGGAACCAGAAGAGGTGGAGCCCGAAGTAGAGCCTGATGACGAGTCTGAGGAGTCGGAAGAGCCTGTAGGAGACCCGGAGTATATACTCCCTTTTGAGCAATACATGGATCCCAATTTCGTGCCTGAGTACAATTTCTTTGATTTTCTAGCCGAGGAGGATCAGAATGAAGTCCCAGCTGAGTCGGGCGACATCAATCACCCGATTGAGATTGAGGCGGAGACGGAGTCTTCGGAGGAGCAAGCTGATCAGGGAAGTTCAGATTCAGATGAGGATGAGTCAGACTCAGAATGGACGCCGAGTAAGGGGCGTAGGGGCTAGCATTAGGGGTTCAGAATGATAGATTTTGGAGAGTACCATTTTTGAGGTCAGAGTGCCAAGTCATCAATCTTTTGTATATCGGTGGTTTTAATTACGGTGTGTAAGTGTATGTGGTGGCTGTAAACTGTAAATGATTTCTAAGTTTGATAATGAAAATATGTATATTCTCCCTGACTTTCCCAGTTTATATTGTCCGGGTTGATTGTGGTTTCCGCCGTGCGTTAAATCTCTGATGATTGTATTGAGGTC